CAAAGAGAGGATTAACCGAAATTTGTATAAGTTGACCCAAATAACCCCGATGATTGAACCAAAAAAAAAACACAATTGTATGAATTAATGTATCATTAGCTAATTTTGAATAAACCCAATTTTGAAATGTAACAAACTCGATATCATGGAAACCCCAGTTTGAAAATTAACCACTAATTTGAACATTCAAATTAACATCCAAAAAATTGTTTTAAAATATTTGTGTTTGCTGTGTGTATATCTGTGTGAATGTGAGAATGTGACTGTTGTGTGTGTATGCTCTCCCTCTCTCTCTCTCAGTGATATATGTGTAGAGGAGTCAAACGTGTTGGATGGGTTATTTCGTGTCGGATAAATTTCGAGTTTATGTCAAAAATTTTAGAATTCAAACTTGACATGTTTAATAATCATGTTGAGATGTATAAACACTAACCTGACTGGTCATTAAACGGGTTATCTGAACCCCACCTGTTTGACATGTTTAATGAATAGATCGTTTTTGGGTTAGCACACATTGTTGTTTAATATTCATGTAATTAAAGTTTCATGCATCTACCAAAGAAAAAATTCCACATCCTAATATTGACAATTAATAAGATTCCTTTGAATATATTGAGTCTAACTTAATTTCATGACAATTGTTTTTATACATGAGAGCCCAGTTTAATTAACACTCCAAATTTCATATGATATTTTTCATTACTAAAATAAAAAATTCATCTTCTATTATACCATTTAAATTGAAACTAAAAATTTCACACATTAAATTCACGAAGTTAGTAGTTGATAAAGCACAAATGTAACATTGTGTGTCAATTGGGTCATCCCCCCATATATAACAATTTAGCTCTACTTTGGTAAGAAAATAGTGGACTGATTATTGTATTATTGAGTTAACACTGAATAGCAATCAGTTGTGATGCAGACTAATCTAACCATAAGTGGGGTCAATAACCCTACATATAAGTGAAGTAGTGGATTTATTGTTGCATATAATTAAAGTTTTATATATCTATCGAAGAAAAATTTTCATTTGAATATATTGAGTCTAACTTAATTTCATTATAATTATTTTTTGGGTACCTCGGAAGTAAGTACACTCTATAGGACTTATTAGAATTAAAATAATTTTTAAAAAAAAATTAGATAAAAGTCCACTTTGAATGAAAATGGTTGTAATACTCTTTAACAACACTCACTAAAGCATCAAAAACCGGTTATTTAACACAAACATGTTTAACACATATAACATATTTTCACACATGTTCATTGTCATTAAATACATCATTCAATCATTCGTCCAAAATTTTAAATAATTTATTTACAAATGACATATCGAGAACTATATTAGTATAACTGTCATAATATTAAGAATTATATTGTCAATTACCATAATAGAAGAAAAAACTAATAAGTAATAATGTTACGACCACATCAATCATACATAGTAACCAAACTATACTGCCATAAATGGGTTTATAATGTTGTTTGTGGTATTCAAAATATTGTAAAATCACTTATTGAAGTTTCTGATTTGAATCATGTAATGTATAAAAAAACAGTAATAATAAAGAGTTATACAGAAACAGGCTTATACGATAGAGTTACACAAAAGAGTTCTAGTAGTTTAACGAAACAGTAATAGAAAACTAATATAATTACTAATCCGGTTGTATAATAGGAACTGTTATTGAAGTTGATATAGATCAAGACTAGTGTTTGACATTATATCCTTAAGACAAATTTCGCCTCCACACACGGTGCTTATGGAATATCGAGTGTTTGCCTCCGAGGATATAATAATCTTTCCACGAGTAGAAGTAGCACTTCAATCTACTCGTCCAACGAACTAAAATTATATTGTGTACTTTCCAAATGCAAACTGTCGAAAAATAGACAATTGAATGAATTGAACAAATGCATGCATGAACTAGGTATTTATAGACACTTTGGTGACTTTCGAACAGCAATCATACTAAAAGACACAACCCAAAATAAACACAACAGCTAGCAGTTACCACTGTTTTAACTCTTCTGTATAAACAGACACAATCCAAATTTTTGAACTAGAAGGAAGCAAAAAACCAACAGAGTGTGATCCAATGGATACCGAAAGTAAATTTCGGGCTAAGAAATTCATGTCCAATTAATTAAATAAATTTTCTCCAAAAAGATAGAATTTGGTCTAAACCACACCCACACCCATACCTGTATTGAAGCTCGAGCTCGGCCGGGTCGTTGCGTGGCGAGGCGAGGCACGCGCACGCGTGTGTGGTCAAACCGAAGGTATGTAGGCACTCACTCCGTTTATAAACCTGTGGTACCCCTTGGGGCCTAATCTCATAGAACAAACTTGGTCTATATATGTCCATGTTAAATTTATTTCTTGTGGGATTGATGTCAAATTCCACATTGCACAAACTTTATTACCACATTTCAAGAAGGTCATTTTAGAGCCTATTTTCTCATTTATTTTTTACTCGATTTAAACAAGTGAATATACTACATTATTCTTCTTACGGAATAAAATATGAACCCACAAAAGTTTATTAAAAATAACGAGCAGGTTCCACTTTAATTTAGACTCAAAGTCGACCAAAAATTTAGTTTATATACTTAAAAACTGTTTTGGTCCAACATATAATAGGTTAGGTCGGGTTCGTGTCCGAATCATATCAACCTATTTAAAATATACGGGTTAATCAGATTAAAATCGGGTTGACCTAATTTTAACATGAACCTGACACGATTTTTTTTGTGTTTAAGTGTGTTGACTCATTTTAACTTATTAACTCGTTTAATTTTGTGTCAGTCTCATTAATTTCGTATTTGACTTATATCGTATTAAAAATTGACAGCCTTATATATGTGTATCTATTGTCTGTGTGTGTGTGCAAAGAGATAAAAAAAGGTATTTGGGTTCGTTCCTAGCAGAGGAGAGAGAGAGATTGAGCGATCGCTATAGGTGTGCGTTATGTGGGTGTGTATGAAAGGAGAGAGAGAGACGGACGTTTGAATTATGTGGCATATTTGATAAAAAAAAATGGGTGGAGTGTGTGTAGGTAGATGAATTTAAACAAGGTTTGAACCGTGTATTTAAATTTCAATTAAATTCTAGTCGTTCTTCTTTGGAAATGATGATTACAATTAAAAAAGTTCAAAAAAAAATTAACGTGATTTCACTTTATACATTAATTTTGTATTTTTAAATATTAAAAGTATTGTAATGTAATATTTTCGTTAGTTTCTATTATTCATTCTATCAAAGTCAATGCAATGATTTTTTACAAAATAAGCAACAAAAATTAACGAAAGGATTGCATTAAAATTTTAGAGTACAAAATACAAATTTTTAAATATTTCTAGATGCAAAGTGATATTCTCCCAAAGAAAATATGGTATTTGTTTCGCTTTCACTGTTTAACATTGGCTTCGATTTTGGATTTTGTCAATGCTCAGGAAAGTTTTGACGTATGATTTGATGGGCGATGCATTACATAGTCATTGCTTAGTAGTTCATACATAATTTACCCTAAAGACTTCGTTGATAGTTGTTGTTGTTGTTTTGTTGTATGTACCCTTCAAACAAGTTGAACAAATGATAATTTACTCTGAAGAGTTGGTTGAAATTTATTTTTCATGAATTTTATTTTTGACGTAGATGATTTGTCTATGTCCAAATTGAATAGGAAATTAATCGAGGTGCTCATAAATTGACCCCAATATCTCTAATCATTGAACAAAAAAAAATTGTAAGGATTAATGTATTATTAGCTTTAATTTTGTTTATCAACAAAAATATGACATAAACATGAAATGAAATTAAAATGACATGACCGGGTACGAGGTTACGTGACCCAAATAACACGTCCAGAGAATATAAAATCTTGATTTGAACTTCAATTCTCATACTTAGTTTGTGTGATATTTCCACGCGTGATAGGCTCCGGGAAAAAAGCGTGTGACTTGACCAATCTTGTCCAATAGAGACTATGTCACATCAGTCTTCAAAAAAAAATAATAATAATAATTTGAGTCATTGTTATGTTTTCTGTAAATATGACTATGTGTGTTTATTATTCAAACTTTGAATTTTACAGAAATATTGGGCATTTTTGTATATTTTATTCTGGCCCCGCCAAGTCGAGAAAGATAAGCAAATAAAAGATTTCATTGGACATGTGGACCACACACATACAATTCAATGAATAATGTTATTGAAATTTAAAAAATTAATTTATAATTCTATAATGACGTGACAATAACATAATTCAATATTATTATTGTGATTGTATTTATTGAAATTTTTTATTAAAATTATTTAACACATCATTAAATTAATAAATTAAATTAATTTTTTTAATATTAATAGCATTACTCAATATACATGTTTTTTTTTATGATATAATTTCAATTTTTGTCCATAATATTTTTACGCAAATAATAACTCGTGTTTAAAGGTATGTTAGCACATAAAATTCGAGTCTCAAAAAATTGATATCATTATATTAAATAATAATTTTTTTTCTTTCTTTTATTTCTTTGATAAATAATTCAAATTTTATTTTTACCCCATTAATTTTTAAAAATATTGACAAAATTTTTTCAAAATATATAATTTGATAATTTTTTTAATATATGTATATTATCGTGTATGAATAATGTTTGAAAAAAAAATTATGTTAAATTATAAATTAATTAAATATTAAATAATTAAATATATGATAAAAATGAATGATATAATGATTTTAGGAGAAAGGCAATGTACAGGGGATAAAAGGGAATCTTCATTCCTCTTCCCTCGATAAAGGTACCATTGCTGTCTCTCAGCACCGTCCCAACAGCGAATTCTTTGTTTTACTTTCGAATGCGTTCAGATTTGGGAGTAGAGGGGACTTCCATTTGATTGTATCGAGTATAGTCGGTGCACGAGACTCTCATAATTATGGACTCTGTAGATTCTTCAATCGCTTCACCTGTGAATGTAACCACTGCCTTCAATGGCCTTGTCTATTGCTAAATTTGCTATCCTCCTCTTGGCTTTCTTTCCATTTCAACTGCCATGTTCAAGTGCAAAAATATGGATCAGATCTGGATACTGGTTCTCAGGCAGTGGTTTACCCATCACAGATATTAACTCAGCTCTCTACACCCACCTTATCTGTGCTTTTTCAGGCCTCAATTCTACCACACACCAGCTTTCAATCTCTTCGTCAGATAACCCCTACTTCTCTGCCTTCACACGCACTGTCAAACTAAAAAATCCATCAGTTATTACTCTTCTGTCCATTGGTGGTGGCCTAGCCAACTACTCAGTTTATTCATCAATGGTTGGCCGATCCTCCCATAGGAAGTCCTTTATTGATTCTTCAATAAAAACAGCAAGATTATATGGGTTTGATGGCTTAGATTTTTCTTGGGTTTCTGCAAGTGCTGGCTCAGACTCAGACATGACCAATATAGCCAACCTTTTGGACGAATGGCGAACAGCTATAGAATACGAATCCAGAAACTCTAGCAATAATAGTACACAACTTATTTTAACCATGGCTGTTCGGTACTCACCAGATCTTGATGCTACAGGTTTTCCGGTTGAGTCTATAAGGAACAACTTGAATTGGGTTCATGTAATGGCATATGATTACTACAAGCCCAATGGGACGAGTCACACGGGTGCTCATGCTGCTTTATATGATCCAGGGAGTGTACAAAACACAGATTATGGTATAAATTCTTGGATAAACAGTGGATTATCAGCTGACAAGCTGGTTTTGGGTTTGCCTTTCTATGGCTATGCATGGACACTTGTGAACCCAAACAACAGTGAAATTGGTGCACTAGCAAAGGGACCCGCAATTACTGAAGATGGGTCAATGAGCTATAAGGATATCAAAGGGTATATTCAAAGATATGGAGCTGTTTCAATGTATAATGCAACTTATGTGGTGAATTACTGCACCATTGGATCGACTTGGATTGGTTTTGATGATGTTGAGGCTGTCAAAATTAAGGTTGCTTATGCTAAGAAGAGGAATTTACTTGGCTACTCTGTGTGGCAAGTCGCACATGACGACAATTGGGTGCTTTCTGAAGCAGGTGAACATTATCTTCTTGATATCTGGTGATTAGAATTTGGGTTAATCTTATTTTGTACCTTAAAAAATTGTTCAAATATTAATTTATACCCCCAAAGATCAAAAATCTCAATTTACACCCTCAAAAATAGAAATTTGTAGTAATGTGCACCCCCAAAAATCAAAAATTTTAATTTGCACCCTCAAAAATAGAAATTTATATCAATGTGCACCCCAAAAATAAAAAATCTCAATTTACACCCTCAAAGATAGAAATTTGTATCAATGTGCACCTAAAATTAAATTAATAAATTATACCTAGATCCCCTCATGTTTGTTACTTAATCATTTGAACTCCTTCACATTTAGAATATTTCTCTTACATCTCATGACGTTTGTGCATGTGTAACACATAACCACTTTTTGTTGATATCTGTTAATATAATCGTTAAAAAATATGATTTTATCCTAATAAAAAATTATAATTTCATATTACCTTTTATTTTGTAGATTCGATATACTCTAAAGTTGAAAATCAAGCTTACCATTTGAATGTCTAATAAAATGTAGATATTTATATAAAAGGTAATATGAAAAATATTATATAAATATTTACATTTTATTAGACATTCAAATGGTAAACTAAATTTTGAACTTTAGAATATATTGAACCCATAAAATAAAAGGTAATATGAAATTATAATTTTTTATTATGATAAAATTATATTTTTTAACGGTTATATTAATAGATATCAATGAAAATGAGTTACGTGTTATACGTGCACAAATGTCATAAGATGTAAGAGTAATATTCTAAATGTGAAGAGGTCTAAATGATTAAATGACAAGTATGAGCGGATCTAAATATAATTTATCAATTTAGTTTTAGGTGCACATTGATACAAATTTTTATTTTTGAGGGTATAAATTGAGATTTTTTATCTTTGGGGTGCACATTGATATAAATTTCTATCTTTGTGGGTACAAATTGAGATTTTTGATCTTTGGGAGTGCACATTGATATAAATTTTTATCTTTGAGGGTATAAATTGAGATTTTTGATCTTTGAGGGTGTAAATTGAGATTCGAACAATATTTCAGGATGCAAAATGAGATTAACCCTTAAAATTTTCAATTTTAACAAACAAATACCAATATAATACGATTCGAAAATGACACAACCAATTTAGTTAGACACAAATAACCCGTGTAACAGGTAGAAAATGTATGATTTTTTTTTTTTTGTAGTTTTTCCATTTCTTTCAATATTATTATATGAAAAATTTTNGCAAAATGAGATTAACCCTTAAAATTTTCAATTTTAACAAACAAATACCAATATAATACGAATTCGAAAATGACACAACCAATTTAGTTAGACACAAATAACCCGTGTAACAGGTATCGTACGTAGAAAATGTATGATTTTTTTTTTTTTTTGTAGTTTTTCCATTTCTTTCAATATTATTATATGAAAAATTTTGAATTAAATGCCTTTTTTTAATTATTAATATAGCATTTGTTTTGCCTTTTCTTTTCTAGATTTGTTTATTTCCTTAATTGCCTGTATACTAGTGTATTATTTAAATACTTTTTTGGTTTTTTTTTTTTTAACAAAAATTGCCTTTTGCTTAAAGAAAATATTTATACAACTAATAAAAGTACCTTAAGATGAAAAAATTTTAAATCTTTATTTTTTCCTTATAAAAAAATGCAAAGACTGTTCTTTCCTTTTACAATTAAGTAATTTAGATACAATCATATTTTTATATATTTAAATTTCTAAATTATCTATAACATCTCTTTTAATTATCTATTCTCTTTGTATAAATATCAGCTTGTATAAAATTTTTGATTGACTATATTACTCTTAAAAAAATATATTGCATCATTATATTTTCAATAAAATGTTTAAAAAATCTTTAAAAACTCCATCAATTTAATATTACTCATCTCATATACAAAATTAAAATTATACCTTCATATGTGTATTTTCTTTTAAATTAAAAAGTTTAACCATTTTATTTCTGAGATAAAAAATAATCGTATATATAATTTTTTTTTAAATTTAATTTATATTACATCAATATAATTTTTCACTGACAATAAATTTTCTAAGTTATACTAAGATTTTATATATATATAAAAAGATATTATAGTGTATTTTTAAGTAAAATTTAAATTTTTTAGAATTTTTATATGCTTGAAAACATATATTATAGAGTAATATGTTAAATCTTATCAAATTTGACTTAATTAATTCCTAATTACAGTAAGGTTCTAATATAATTAGTATATTGACCAAAAAACTAATTTCTCAAATATTACTAAAAAAATAATATCAATCACAAAATTTTACAAAAATAGAATTTTAACTATTTTTTTTATATTTGGAACAAAAAATTTGGAGAACATACAAAGTTTTTATAATCCTTATAATATAATATGAGTAATAAAAAATTAAGTTTGATAAATTTAAGATGATATTTAATTCAGATACATATATATCTAATATGTTTTATTAATTTTTGTATATGAAAATTATTCACGTGCAACGCACGTGATGCATTACTAGTACTTTGAAAAAGTGTTATTAAATGTTGTATGTATTAATCCAGATAAAAAAAAAACACTGTATTAATGATTTTTCTCACTTGTCTCTGATTTTCCTCAATATTTTAACTATGTTTATAGCTCAAGAAAAGGAGAACGATCATCAAAACAAGCGGAAGCGGCCATTGCTCCTAATTATTTTGCTTCCAACAACAGCAATAGTACTTCTCTTACTAGGCTCTGGGATGTTGTACCGACGGAGGAAATTGATTATAAGCATATTTAAAGGTAACATTTCTAAATAGACAAATAACATTTTGCATCCCGATAAATTTTCAAATTCTCAATTTACACCTAGAAAGATTAGATTATAAGCATATTTAAAGGTAACATTTCTAAATAGAAAAATAACATTTTGCATCCGATAAATTTTTAAATTCTCAATTTACACCTAGAAAGATTAAATTTCTCGCATTGCACTCTCAATCTAAGAAAACAGAGCATATGGTCTTTTTTAATAGAAATGTGTACAAAATTTTCATGCAAAGCTTCAAATTGAATAATTTACAAATAATTATGTACAAAAGTATGAAAATATATAAGGGTGCAATGCAATTGGTATCTCCTTATTGGAGTGAGGGTGCAATGCGAAAAATTATGATATTTCATCATAAAAATTCAAAATGCAAAGGTCTTTCAACATCTAAAGTGTACGAAATTAAGAGATTAACATGCATATTCCTTCATGTCATGTGTGTTGTGCTCATGAAATGGTGGGGTACAGATAAGAATTCAGAGTCCAAAATGGAAACTACTATGGTAGCTGCTGCAAGTACAGATGCTCCTAATTTGCGAGTATTTAGTTTTGGTGACATTAAGGCAGCAACAAATGACTTTTCGTTCGAAAATAAGCTTGGAGAGGGTGGGTATGGACCCGTTTACAAGGTAAATATTTTATCTTGTACACTTGGATAAATATTGATGTACTAGTTATTGTCTTTGTCTGAAGTTACAAAGTAATAAAAATTGATAAATAATAAAAATATTTATATTCATATTCAAAATTAAATCACAAACATAGAGAATAGATAAAAGAATTTAAGTATTGTTTTGTAGTGGAAGTGAAAGGTGATGGGTAGCAGTGGTGGTGGTAGGAGACGGTAATAGTTTTGGTGGGTGATAATGACTATGGTGGCGGTGAGGGTGGCGATAGCAACAATGGTGGTGGTAGTAGCGACAGCGGTGGTAATGGGGGTAGTGGCAGCGACAGTGGCAATGGCAGTGGCGG